AAATTATAGCCAATAGGAGGAACCGCAAGAAAGAGGAAACAAAACAAAACAGAAGAAAAAAAAAGCAAATAGTATGCTTCAATCTGCATTCAGACTCCACAGTTCTTTCTCTGGATGTGGAGAGCATTTTCCATCATGAAACTTTTGGGGATGTCTTAGATCTTTGCATTGCTGAGAAGATCTAAGTCTATCAAAGATAGTCATTGCACAATGTGGCTCTTATTGTGTACAGCATTCTCTTGGTTCTGCTCACTTCCCTCAGCATCAGTCCATACAAGTCTTTCCAGGTTTTTCTGAAGTCCACTTGCTCATTGAAAAAACTATATTTTTTAAGAATAAAAAAGAGGCAGAAGCATCTCCAAAGCCCTGGTAGGGGAACATATTCACAGAATGAAATGGCATTTGTAAGTTGACAGAGCTTCAACAGGGAAAAACAAACCCATTGCTATTACTAGTTTAGCATTAAAGAACCACAGCGAGAACCAAAGAGGCTAGGAGCCTTTCCCCTCCGCATCCTATATATACTCAGGTATTCATTTTGGGGTAGGTTTAGTCCTCTCTCCCCCAGCCAACATGAGGTAGGCCTAGGATGAAGCTGGCCCTTAGACATGATTGACCTCAGCTTTCTTGATGCAGGTTCCTGGTTATCTAGGGGCATAAAAATCTCAGCTACCTGGAGTCTAGACCTCTTAGACTTGGAGAGTACCTGACACTACATGGGGCAGCAAGATGATGCAGTGGATAGAGCATCTGGCCTGCAGTCAGGAAGACCTGAGTTCAAATCCTCACTTACTAGCTTAAAAACACTACAGTGACCCTGGGCAAGTGACTTAACCCTGTGTTTCCTCAACTGTAAAATGAGCTGGAAAAGGAAATGGCAGACCCCTCCAGTATCTTTGCTAAAAACAAAAACAAAACTCAAATGGGGTCACAAAGAGTCAGATATGATTGAAATAACTGAACAACAACTGCAATAAAAAAAGACTACATGAATCACCACACCCTGAAGACTTGCTGATTAGACACTTTTCTGTGAGTAGGGAACAAGGCTGTGTCCACCAAAGCTTAAGATAAGTATCACTGTATCCTCATAGCATAAGCTTGCTGTGTTGGGGCAAAGTAAACCTCCTTTGTTAAATGTTCAAAAAAAAAAAAAGAATAAAAAAGAGGAAACTTTTCACCATCACAGAAGCTTTCTTTATTCCAGGCTAAACACTCATGAATCATTCATCTGTCCTTTAGATACCTCAGTTTTTATGCTCTTCACTGTCTAGTTCATTCTTCTCTGGACATGGTCAGGTTTTCCTAGTAATCTTCTGAAAATATAACCTCCATAACTGAACACAAAGTGCCATATGTGGTCTGACTAATTACATTCTACAGTGGAAACTTTACCTCCATTGATAAGGATGATATATTTCTAACAATGGAAAAGAAGGCAAAATTCACTTTTTAGTAGCTCTTTTCTACTCATTTTAAGACTTGTGTTCAACTAAAATCCCCAGATCTTTTTCACATTAACTGCTGCTCAATTGGGTTTCCACTTATGTACCTTGAAACATTTTTTTTAACCTAAATGTAAAACTTTATGTTTATCCCTATTTATTTTAATATTGCAATTTGTGCCCGTTGTTCTAATGATTCTAATCCGCTGCAAACCTTTTACATATTGATTCTGTCTCATAATGTATCAGTTAACCCTCACAATTTTGGAGAAGGTAAGAAATGGGGGGAGTATTTCATGATATACAAGACACAATATCATTAAGAGAATATTGGCATTGACCATGACCAAATGAGGTAATATTTGTAAAAAGTACTTAGCAACGTACCTAGTACATAGCAGGCACTTGATAAATGCCTATTTCATTTCAGCCATGTATCTAACAAAAGGGACATTATTATGCTTTCTATATATTGGAAAATCATGCTTTCTTGCTGTACATCAAAGATCTTGACAAAAAAAGTGTTGGAGAAGAGAAGACTGAGGGCCCTGCAGCATACAACTAGAAACCTTCCTCTAGTTGAGGTAGATAATTTTCTGTAATCTTTGTGTTAGAGGTTCTTCTAACATGAAGGGATTATATTCATTTTGAAGATTTTCAAATTCTTTGGCTCCTAGCCCTCCACTCAGAAAATCTGGGAAGATGATCTGACATCATCTCATATGCTGACATCAACTCCGCTTAGAAAAATATAATTTACAAAAGAAAGAAAATGTAATTGAAAGGACCCTGTGATCACTATATACGCAGCTAACACACCAGATGCCTTTTCCTAGAACCTTCAATATTTTGGGAATACCAATGTTACACTCAGCTTTTCCACTGTTACTATGGGACCAATCAACCTTCTTTCCTGGTCATCTGCCTTCCTGACTTTTTTTTTTAATTGTAGGGTGCCTTTTTACAAAGCATATGCAGATATTCTCTGCTGGCTGTCAATGTGACTGTGGGGGCACTCTGGAGGCCGTCTTCTAGGACTCTCTGAAAGTCCTGTCATTGGCAGTTGAGCTGGAACAGTTAAGAACCTTTCTTTTTCTTTGTTTTTGGAAGGCAATAGGGTTAAGTGACTAGCCCAGAGTCACACAGTTAGTAAGTGTCAAGCGTCTGAGGCCAAATTTGAACTCAGGTCCTCCTGCCTCCAGGGCTGATGCTCTATCCACTGAGCCACCTAGCTTCCCCTACCCTTTTCTTTTTCTTTCTTTTTTTTTTTTGAGAACCTTTTAAAGGAGGCGACAAC